TAGCGAAGGCCTGTGATGATAACCCAAAAAATCAATTCAATGTAATCAAATGATACACAGGTTTTAAATATAAATATTAAAAATAAATAAATGTCTTTGTTTGGTATTATTTACTATGGACTGTAAAAATTTACATAAACGTGCAAGTTTTTATTACATATGGGTTTTAGAAAACAATAATATGAATGAATATAGCCTATTGTTTATGTTTATAGTCTTCGCTCATCAACACAACCGACAAAGAAGCTCGCTATAAATAAAGCACGTTTCATCGGTATAGATGCACTGATTTATCATACTCTTTATTGCACACAAAAATTGTAAGATACAAAACATAAATATGTGAGCAAAGGAGGGCTTATCTCTAAGAGAGATCTCTTCCAGCCAACCAAGATTTGGTGAGAGAAAAAAGTAAGCATAGCATAACATTTATCGCATATATACCGTTGCTATATCGGATGCGTCAACGCATCCAGAAAATAAACCACAGTAATATTATAAAGGCGAAAGTTTGTGAGTATGTTTGTTTGTTACTTTTTCACGTCTTAACGGCCGGAGCAATTTTAATAAAATTTGGTATAGAGTTAGCTGACACCCAGGATTAACACATAGGCTACCTTTTACTGCTGGAAAATAACCCTAATAAACCGCGGGTAAAGCCGAGGGGCACAGCTAGTAAATAAATATTTCCAACACTCACACCAATTAGCCTAGCCCCAAAGTGGGCACTATAATGCTTGTGTTATGGGATATTAAAGTAACGGATACAATACATATACTGATACATATATAAGTATATTTTATCTGGAAATGTATATAACCATCTACGACTAAGGTACAAAGGCTCGTATTCATCATACCAACATTTGCCCTCACCGGGATTCGAACCCGGGACCTGTCGAATAGGCGACACCTTGAAACCCAGTGTATAGACCACTCGGCCTCGGAGGAAGTCAGAAACAAATAAGCTCGCTATAAATGAATCATTGTTAGTAATAATTGTGAGGCGGGTCGTTACGTTACCTAAAATATGGTTGAGCGAAGCGATGGCTGGTTCATGCGTCATGCTCGTGAACGGGTGCTGCCAGCGGAGATGAGTCAGCCCTAACAACTTTGATAATTAAGATGTAAATGTTTAATTACACCTATTATAAATAACTCTATTTGTATTTATACTGTGTGACACAGCAATCAAAATCCAGGTGAACAATTAATGTATGATTTTACATTATGTAATGAAAGGTGACTTCATGAATCATCTCTGAAGTCATTTTTCAACTTGACTACTTTGTAAATGATAAAACAGGAAGAAAAAAACAGCCATTGCTGAGTTTCTTGCCGGTTCTTCTCAGTACAAGGTCTCCCGCCGTAGATTTACGAACCGATGGCGTAGCTTCTAGACATTCATATGTGCTTGTAACAGCCTAAACTGAATAAACGATTTTGATTATTATCTATACTTATAATAAATCTGTAGAGAGGTCAATTCTGTACATGGAATATATTTTCAAAATAACTATCAGGGGGTGATTAGTGAGCGATACTGATGCCAAAAATGCAATCAGTAAAATTTTTGTCTGTCTGTCTGTATGTATGTTCCTTATAGAAACAAAAACTACTCGACGGATTTTAACGAAACTTGGTACAATTATTCTTCATACTCCTGGGCAGGTTATAGTATACTTTTCATCACGCTACAATCAAAAGGAGCAGAGTAGTGAAGGGAAATGTTGGGAAAACGGGAGAAGTTATTCCATTTTTTAAGCTTCCGTCGCGTGTGCAGCCTTAATGGTTAAAGTTACATAGAAATCACGTATGACGCAAATATTCTACATAAAATTGTTTAAAAAATATCCCGCAGCAGCATATGTCTATCTTTTATGGTTGACTCACAATAACACGTGTAACTCCTGATAGCTTAGCAGTTCGGAGCATTCTGATTATATTTGTTTACTCTTACGTTTATAATACTCTCACTCATTCCTAATTTAAAAAAGTTAATATTATTACCTATTCAATAAAAAAAGAATCATAGAAAAAGAATTAAATAAATAAATTCATTGTGTACAATACACGCCTGAGAACAAAAACTATAGTCTATACTGCAGCTCTACACCGAAGCGAAGCGAGGGCGGGCCACTAGTCTATATATATAAAAATGAAACCCGTTTTCCGTTGTCACGACATAACATGAAAACGGCTTGACCGATTTGGCTGATTTTTTTTTTGTAGTTTTCTAATACTCTGTGCAAGGTTCTTACGGAAAAAAATATAAAGAAAATCTCTCAGAAAGATTGAAAAATATAACGTAACGAATGTCAACGTCATTGAATATAAAACAAAAAATCTGTGGTAATCTGTGACAACACATCCATAACCGCGCTAAAAATATAGGTACTCATACATAAGATAGGTCAGCTATACAAAATAAAGTAGTGCATCAAAGCTACGCTAAGGCGGTACGAAGTTCGCCGGGTCAGCTAGTGATTAATAAAACTCCTTTTTCTGTACAGCGCGATGACTGGTCAACTCGCGAGTTTCCTGACCGTGAAACAATCTAACGAGGCGCGTTCTCGGCGTGAGTCTCTCGTTAGCGATTACGTAACGAGTGCGGACAACACTCGCGCGCACTTGCACTTTTACTACACGCCAAGCTCCGTTGCTTTCGTTTAATTAAGCTGTGATTGCAATCAACGTTCTCTGATAGCCGCTTTACGGAATATAAAGATAGGCATTTATTATTGCTGTCTTATCTGCGGTTAATATGACATATAGTTTTGGACACATCAATGGGCCCTCTTAGTGATATAGGTTTCAACGGGCGGTAGCAAAAATATATGTTTATTTTTTTTCTCTAGTAATATTTTCTTTAGACTTAAACATCGAGCAGTTACATGCTTAAAAAAATATTAATAAAAATTTAAACTACATGTTTACTTATATATTTAGGCATGCTAACAGACATATTCACACATTAATGATTGAATAGGATACTATACAATTTTCTTATATGCAGACCAATTATAAGCATACACAACATTCCTCAACAACGTCCTTCACTGGGTACGCCATAGAGGTATAAGAATAGAGTAGGGGAGATATAGACTCTACTACAAGTGGAAGTGTCCCTCTAATAGAAAGAGAAAGAAGATGAGAGACCGTTAGCTTTCACTCTCTTATAGCGCATGCGCATTGGCAACCGTAAGCATATTACTATTTCGATGTGATGCTTGGACCAACTATTACTACTACTACAGACGACTGCGCATGCGTCACAAGAGAGAGAGATAGCAAGCGGTCTCTCATCTTCTTTCTCTTTCTACTAGACGGACACTTTTACAAGGGGTATGCCCTCTACTATATGGAGCGACGATTTAATAAAAGTAGCTGTATGCCGCTGAATAGTGACATCTCAGTATTCATGTGAACGAGATCTTGTGGGGAGGTCTATGCTCAGTGGTGGGCGTCGTATGACATCGAGACTTTATGAATGATCAGTTTGTAGTTAATAGTACCTACTACCTTGTCAGGGTTGCTACACATAAGTGGGCCGGCATAAATCGGCACAGCCGGGCGATAAAATCGAATATACGTAAATGATTGTTCGGCAGTATTTTTTTTAAGATAGGTCCGACCACATAACCTGATATACTATAGAATACGACATAGATAATAAATCAAATAATATAATATTGTGCTAAAATGATTAAATAATGTTGATATTAATATATTTTTATTTGTTGGGTAAAAAAAATATCGTATTTGGCTGGTAAATTGTATACGTACTAATTAAATTACAATTAGTGAATGCGTCCTCTTCTCTATTTGCTGTGCCCTGTTCAGGGTCTACAATGATCAAACCAATGTACCTACTAAGATCTAAGAAAACATTGTAGAACGCAATAAAGTATTGATTGATTGATTGACCACCCCACCTGATGTTAAGTGACGGTGAAGTCCAATTACTATGGGTCGGCTTTGTTGTTCGACAAATACTACCGAACCGAATGACGGGAAACCGATGACGGGAACAATCGTAAACAAACACTCGCAAGCACGTAGGATATAACTACCTGAATTTACATTACAAAACCACGATTTCTAATAGATTTCATGATAAATATAGTAATTATCATGATTGTATTATACGAGAATAAAGAAATACATCGTTAAAAACTCCAGAAATGTTGTGGTTTCAATTTTTAAGGTTATGAATGTACCTGCTAAGTCAAAGAGTTTTGTCGTTTCTGCTTTCACAAATCCGGCGTCCAGCATTAATTTAGTTAAGAAAACCTACTGTCGGTTAATATCACAGTCGACATTCATTTAACATCGTAGATTCCAACTTACCCTTGTGAGTAGCGGGATTTCTAGACCTTAAAGACACATTTATGCAGGCCGGCAAGGTGAAGATGGTTGGTGTGGCAGTTTATAACTGCTGTACCAGCTATCTTCGCGTTTGGACTTTATCACCACTTAACATCAGGTGGGGTAATCATTCAGGTTACTTAGCTATAAAAAAAACAATGCTCGGTTTTAAGGCCGGGAGAAGAGCTGGACGTAGGAAGAAATCGTGGCTGCGCAATATCCGAGAACGGACCGGAATCGCAAGTGTTGCAGAGCTTTTCATCCTCGTCAAAGACCGGGTGCAATATGCGTAGCCGACTGCCAGCCTTCACTAATTTTGTTTTTTTTTTTTTTTGACACACCAATTAGCCTAGCCCCAAAGTAAGCACTGCAAGGCTTGTGTTATGGGATGCTAGGGTAACGGATAGAATACATATACAGTACATATATAAGTATATTTATATATAAATACATATTAAACATCCATGACTGGAGTACAAATGCTCGTATTCATCACACAAACATCTGCCCCACCGGGATTCGAACCCGGGACCTCTCGAGTCGGCGACACCATGAAACCCGGCGTACAAACCACTCGACCACGGAGGTCGTCAATTGGAGTGGGACTGGAAGAAGAAGAAGCACGGTCTCACCAATGTCCCGCTCCTGGTGCTCACACTGCGGCCGCAGCCCCAGCACGATGTGGCACACCTCCACCAGCAGCGACAGGAACGGCGACACCAGCGCGTCCGCGCTCTCCACACTCCAGATCAGGAAATCTTCCAGGGTCAGCGCCATCTCACACCCGCCCGTACCATCCTCTGTCACTTCCTGTTAAAAAGGAAAAAAATTGGAAAATCACTTCATCACATTATACTTCCTTATTTATGTATCATTAACGACCAGTATCACTAATCAACCGTACCAGTCCAGCCCCTCTAGCATGACCACCGAAACGGGATATGATAAAGCGATATATCGGCATTAACTGTCAGACTACAGTGGAGTTTGACAGTTGAGAATCGATAAAAAGCTATAGCATATCCCGTTTCGGTGGTCATACTAGAGGGGCAGGAGCTCTATTTTTGAATCACTCGTCTGACATAGTATCGTCGAATGCGACATAAGTCACCTCCGACTTTCAAGTCGCTTAATACTGATTTTCCGTATTTTTGAATCATTCGTCACCGGTGTTACCTGTTTAATACGAAATATAAAATATTACTCAGTTCACGCAGAAAAACCAAAAACCGGTAATTACCGCAATGAAAACCGAACAAAGACTTCTCGTTGTCGTTTCATATAAAGCATGACAATGATAGATTATCGTCGTCTAATAGCATAAAAAAAATGACAATTATTCTATCATTCGCCTCCACCATTCGCCATGCAGCGAGTGGTCTCACCCATTCGTTGCAATCGAACGATTCAAAAATACGAAATTAATTATGTCGAATGAAATTTAAAAGAAATCGAGCGTTCGACGCAAGACGAGTGATTCAAAAATAGAGCTCCAGGAGCTCGAATTTTTGTTCGGTTTTCATTGCGGTAATTACCGGTTTTTATTTTTTCTTCGTGAACTGAGTAAAATTTTATATTTCGTATTAAACTGGTAACACCGGTGACGAATGATTCAAAAATACGGAAAATCAGTATTATGCGACTTGAAAGTCGAAGGTGACTTATGTCGCATTCGACGATACTATGTCAGACGAGTGATTCAAAAATAGAGCTCCTGGTCGCAGCAGGCAAATCTAGCGCTGAACAAAACGCGGAGGGATTAGCTGCGCATAGTTGGGATTTAGTCTTGAGCATAGTCAGAAAGGGATAATGCTATGTATACCACATAGCGACATCCCTTTCTAACTGTTATTAAGTAAAGATCGATACTCAGATGTCATTCTGTAATAGGAGCCTTTTGTCATTCTTAATACGAATCTCTTATCTATTAGACAAGTCCGTCCGTCCGTCCGTCCGTCCGTCCGTCTGTCTGTGGTGCTGTTTCAGCGGTCAAACCGTAAGAGATAGATAAAGAGAATGTTTAAGTTATAAGTTAAGAATAGTCTGATAAGACTACAAACCGGATTTGAGTAACGTAGCACTTCCGGTTTTCGAGAAATCACGAATTTCAAACGAAACCACACAAAATCTCCGAAGTTTTCAATTAATTAAATACATTTTTTTTTAAATCAGGTTTTGGTGAACATTTGGTTCACTGGTTTGCTAGTTAGACACTAATACGATGTGATCTGTATAGTACTCCTAACTTTTGTATTTTCAAAAGTTAATTGAATGATTCTCCGATTGTTTGAAAGTTTCAACTTAAATGACTATGTAGTGAGCTAACATTATAATTAAGCGATTCTCCTGATATTTAAAAACGAAAGTATGAGTGCCGGTCTATTGTTGTCTCTTACTTAATCACGCGCCGAATCAGGTATATATTGTATATACGTGTGAAATCAGTTCATAATCTGAACGAGAATGCGACTTGACTGGATTGTATATACATTCGCCTGCAAAACTAAGTACCACACATTTTCAATTTGCTATAACTTTTGAAGTACACATATACTATCGAAACAACGAGGACTCAATTAAGAGTTTAATTTATTTATTATTATTTATTTTATTCCTCTTTACCAAAATACAGTAAATGGCGGACTTAATGCCATAGGCATTCTCTACCTGTCAACCAGTAAGGGTGTGGGAGACGAATGTTATGGAGATAGAGTGAGAGCTACTGAAGTTAGAAAAACATATTTATTATCCTACTTAACTTAACTATACTATAATAAACGATATTAATATTAGATAATAATCAAATATTATAAATACACATATAAATAAATCACACTAATATTATAAAGGCGAACGTTTGTGAGTTTGTGTGTGTATGTTTGTTACTTCTTTACGTCTAAATGGCTGGGGCGATTTTAATAAAATTTGCTATGGAGTTAGCTGACAGCCTCGATTAACACATAAGCTACGTTTCACTGCGGGAAACTATCAAAGTACCACCACGGGGCGCAGCTAGTAGATATATAATTTAATAGAGAGTAAAGAGTTTCAACTGATAAAATTTGGTATAAAAGGTGTTTTATTTTAATGGCTAACTTCTATAGTTTAGTAAAAAGAGAAATAATAAAAATATGATACTTAGTTTTGTAAGCCAGTGTATAAAATAAACACTTAATACGATTGGGTATTTCTTTGTTAATTATTTCGTGTCAGTCTTCTATTTGCCGAGTGCCTTGCCAGTGCTTTCCCTCAAGCAACTTCAGAAGAACCAACATCTTAAATCTCCAGCTTTATGAAATTTCACTTTCTTCTCGACAACCTCTGATATATTATTCATATTTTTTCTGCCTAGCGCTAAATATAATTTTCAACGTAATTAATATTATTATTAATTACGTTGAAAAGCATATTTGGCGCAATTAATGAATTCGTGAACGTACGTAGCGCAATGAATAGCGGTTACAACGCGTGAAATTGGCAATTAAACAAATCGCGATACAGCAACCATCTAAATTAGCCTTCCGTATAGTGTGGTTGGCATATGATGATCTTTATCATTAAAACGATAACACATCAGATAACTGATGTCTGGCAGTATCACAGTATTTTTTTTTAAAAAACGCAGCTTATTATTTCACCACAAGTACAGGTTGAGGCACGTAACTCTAGCGGTGAACAAAACGCTGGGGGCATAGCTGCGCATGGGTACGACTGGAGAGAAAATCAAAGTAACGGACGCCCACCCGCGCATGTCGTCTACCCAGTGTTGCCAGGTTCGATTTTTAAAAATCGGGAGGCGTTATAGAAAAAAACAGTAGATGTATGGAAAGACCTACAAGAAAAATAGTAGATAGAGAGGCTTAATAATCAAATCAAGATAAAGACCAGTAACGAATGTGTTTCAGTGGCTTCTGCCGCCCTTTAAAGCTAGATTTTTTTAGACAATAACATTTATTATAAAATTAATAAGGTTACCTACATGATTAATGGCCGAAAATGCAACTCAACATGCAATTTAAAAAAGAAAGTCGTATTCTAAGAAAAACAGGAGATTCATGTAGAAAAACAGTAGAACAGGAGAAATATCAGAAAAACAGGAGATCCTGGATCCTGTAAAATCTGGAGACCTGGCAACACTGCGTTTAACCCTAACACATCCTAATTTTTACTTCTGCGCAATAACGGTCAGCGCTAGAGTTTCGTGCCGCGACTTATAGTAGTCGAGCCGTGAAGCATCTGATACAGCAGAAAAGTGGCGATTCAGGGCGATTGTTTTCTAGGCACGGTTTTATGTCTTGTGTACGTAGCTTTTCAGTTCACGTAAACAAGTTTGCGGAGGTAGAATCTGGTTGGTTAGCTAACACTTGTTTTGGCCACATCTTTTCAGAAAACGCCATCCACTCTGTTGTCACCTGGCATGTTTAAATTATTGTTTTATAAATGCCATCGTATTCTTGCGAACGAGTTTGTTTTGTCTCCATACGAAAATTCATCAAATCCATTCAGCGGTTATAACTTAAGTGCGTAAGAGATATTATTACTTTAGCATTTATAGCATTAATATGGACGCTCAACAGTAAAAAAAATACGATTATTAAACTAGGATAATCCCCTGTATCAGCTTTGAATAACCGTAGCTGACGTGACTCCTCATCGACTGAACGTCATTAACGACAGGTGAAACTGTTGAATGGGCTTAGGGAAATTCAAATGAACAATCTGCATACTTCCTTCCCTATATGAACACTCACATAAATTTTATATGAGTAATCATCATCAGTCTATTAATGTCCCCACTGCTGGAGCACAAATCTTCCCTGGGAAGAATAGGGAGACCGGGTCCATCACGCGGGCCCAGTTTGAATTGGTGGGTGCTAACGACTGTAGCCGATCCAACAGCTAAACGTGGCTTCTGAAGCATGAAGGAGCTCGAGATAATAAGTTTTAGTCACCCATCCAATGACCGACCATTGCCAAAGTTGCTTAACTTTTACGATCGAATGCGCTTACCGCCTGCGCCATCGAGCTCCTCATGTATGAGTACTACAAAGAAATATTACATAAATATTTGATTGAAGCATTTTTTTTTGAAGTGAAACCTCTTTACTTATCTTGACTGGGGGGGGGGGGGGTGTAAGCTGGCGAATGCGTTACGCGTTACGAAAAGTGAGTTCGGGAGAGGCGAACGGGGGTTGAGTGGGGGATATAAGCAAGAGAATGCAGTGCGCGCACATTTTCTTACTACCTTTCTCTTATAGATAGGAAATGAAATATATTTATATACATACATATGGACCTAAAGAAGTTACTCAGTCGTGTGGTCATATGCACACTCGTTTTTTTTTGTAGAAATTTTTTTAATGTTTTCTAATAAAATATAAACCATTCTTTGTGTTGGTGTTAATATAAAAAAAAAAGATTTTAAACGTCACTTTGTATTTTTTTATCAATAAGTAAACGGATGCTAAATGCTATTATAGCTTATCAAAGATTTATTACTTTATGTTTAGGCGATTGTTGTTAAAGTGAATTGCAGATAAGCTTTTTTATTTATCAATAAGATAGTTTGGCTTGCATAAAAATTGTAAATAGCTATTATTATTAAATAACATTATTCACGTATCTATACCTATAATATTTGACTTGAGTTCAACAATTAACACAAATTCTTGCACGTTTCAATCACAAAGGTGTCATTGACCTTCTTTTCTGAATTATGACAGTTATATGTCAGTACTTTTTAACTACGGCTCCACGGGGTTGGGTCAGGGCACCGCCTGTTCTGTGCGGGCACCGCCGAGCAGGCCTACGCGAGCCAGCGCCCTGCGCATGCTCGTGGCCCGCTCAATTATGGCGAGGCGAAGTTCCCGGGGAGTTTAGTGGAGTATTCCCGGCTATCTCTTTAGCCGGGTGAGTCCCACACACCCCCGCTCACTAGCCCAGTGGGCGGGGACGGTGCTTAAATGCATTCTCCCAGTTAAAAAAAAAAAAAAAAGGTTAGTGCCTGATAACATTCTCCGCGTCACGACGTCGTCAACGTGAAACGGTGCCGGTGCAAATTTACAACCGTATATTTGCAAGATTTTGCAATTGCAAATCTGGTTAATGTACAAACCTGGTTAGGTTTACACGTTATGTCAATGTGGATAAGTAGACAGGCACTAGGGCAACGGTGTGAGTAAGATTGGAGGTAAACTTCTTTCCGGACGGGGTGTAAATGGAAAAATCCTATGGAAAAGATGAAACGGAAATGCGTCACGAGCGACACACGACTACATAATATATATATATATAAATATATATATATATATATACACTTGCCCCAGCGTACTTTGTATCGCCATAAAAATAGGGGTTGGTGGTAGAAGGGTGAAAATTTAGGGTTGTATGTATTTTTGTATGATGTATCATAAAAAAAATCTCCAAAAAAAATTTTAGGGTGAAGCACCCTTACCATTAAGGGGTATGAAAAATAGATGTTGTCCGATTCTCAGACCCACTGAATATGCATAAAAAATTTCACGAAAATCGGTGAAGCCGTTCCGGAGTAGTTCAATTACGCACACCGTGGCACGAGAATTTTAAATATAAGAATGTGTTTGTGTGTGGGGTCCGTGCGCAGCTCTTCCCGACGAACATGAAAGTTGTAGGATAACTCGGCGAAGGCTGAAACGCTATGAGCGTCATGAGCGTCACACGCGACAATATACAGGATGTAAAAAAACCTATGACAAAGACTTAAACTAAACATTCTGTACACCCAAACAAGTCATATTACAAAATATTATAGGTGGGAAAAAATGTATTTTTAAGATAAAAAAAAAAATTTTTTTTTCAGTACGCAAGGTATAGCGCGGCGCGCTACTGTGGCACTACGCAAAGAATGTGCCTGTGTGTATGTGTGTGCGTGTGTCTAAATGCGTAGATAAAAAAGTTTCTAAATAACGTTTTGAAAATATTAATGTATAAAACATGAAAAAAATATTTTGCCTTTGACCTTCAATATGTCCATAACCAAAAATTTCCCTGGTATGGTCCAAAAGAAAAAAAATATCGTCATGATGTGGAAAATACATGGCTTTCGACTTCGTTATAGGTTTTTTTACACCCTGTATAAGAAAAAGAAGTTTCATTTCAGATGTGTGGTCCGTGCATCCATTTTTTTGTCGCAAGTTTTCCAATACTATTCCATCCAGTGACAAACATAAAATCAGCTGATGGCCGGCGTGAAGCGGTAATTGATAGTGCATCCAGGCATTCACGATGCTGCTAAGCTATCGGATGTCATGGCGACCTTGTATTGTACGCTGAGCAGAGATAACGAACTATATCCATACATAATTAGCAGACACCCTTGGAATTATAACAATACTCCGCCAACATATTGTCCAAAGATTAAGAATACTGTGAGTAGGGTTACCGAATCACTTGTTTATATTGAAATATACTGTTTTATAATAGGGATGATGACTATTTTTTTTTTCTCCGTTTATCAGGTAGATTATCAAAAAGTATTGGACACGTATTTTTTCTTTTTTCACATAATATAAACATTGCAGAGATATATTGATTTGAAAATTCGCATTACAATTAAACAAGTACAATTTTCACTCAAAAGTGACGTCACGAGCCCCTACTCCCAAACTTTGACGCGCTATAACTTTGTCATTTTTTGGTTGATTGCCCAGAGAAAAAATACGTGTCCATTATTTTTTGATCATCTAACTGACGGACTAAATAGAATTTCGTTTACTGTACCCCGTCATCACCCCTATTGTTTAAGTGAAACTTCATTTAGGACGGGGTCTAAATGAAAAATCGAGCGTCACACGCGACAATTTATATCAAACAAATATTATAAAGGCGAAAGTTTGTAAGTGCGTATGTTGGTTACTTCGTCACGTCTAAAGGGCTGGAGCGATTTTAATAAAATTTGGTATGGAGTTAACTGACACCCTGGGTTACGTTTTACTACGGGAAAATATCCCTACTAAACTGCGGGGCATAGCTAGTATACATATATATGAGTGAAGCGTGCGCTGCTTCATTCCCCTATGCCTTATGCACCGCCTAATGTTAGGTTATTAATATAAGAAGTTTTTACTTTAGATGTGTCGTCCGTGTTTTTGCAACATTTTCCATTGGTACTCGGCTTCCTATTTGTGTAGAGTTATGATATATAACCTATTGCACTCCTCGATATTTGCACTATCCAACACAAAAAGATTTTTTTTAATTGGACTAGGAGTTCCTGAGGTTAGCGCGATCAACCAAACAAAGAATTACAAACAATAAAGATTGGCTATTTCAATAGTTGACAACCCTAACTACAAACTACGTAAAAACTACTGTTTGTAAATACAATATATTCTGATATCTCATCTTTTCAATTGTCATACGTACACATGATTATGTGCAAAGTATCCTTTGTGGAGGAGCTCGATGGCGCAAGTGGTTAGCGCATTCGGCTGTGATCGTTGAAGTTAAGCAACTTTCGCAGTGGTTGGTCATTAGATGGGTGACCAAAAATCTTCTATCTGGAGTTTCTCCGTGTTTCGGCAGGCACGTTAAGCCATTGGTCCCGGCTGCATCTGTAGTCGTTAGCCCCCGCCAATCCGCACTGGGCCCGCGTGGTGGGTCATGGCTTGCACTTCCATTTCCATCCATAGGGAAGGCCTGTGCCTCAGCAGTGGGGATATTAATAGGCTGATGCTGATGACGATGATGATCTGTTGTAAATGTACTGTAAATGCTACAATAGCAGCATAAAAATTCAGTGTCCAGCAGTGTTGGGCGTAATTAATTACTTTTGTAATTTAATTACTAATTCAATGAAATGTAATTGAATTACTTTAATAGAAATTACACGTATTTAAAATTACTGTAATTCAATTACTTACGTCCGAAGTAATTTCAATTACATTAGTTTGTAATTCAAATTACTCAATTACTTTTCAAGGGTAACATAATAAACTACTAAAACTGAGCGGTTATTAGCTTGATGCCCGTACGCAGTACAACACAAACGAAGTTTTAGTGTATAATTTGCCATGAATTTATAAGTGTGTGCCTCGTTTACCTGTACCTACACAGCTACATATCCCTTTTCTAGTCTCCCGGCGGCATGCACCTTTATTTCGATTGATTGTTCTCATATGCTACAATGATTAATTTACCAAAATCTCACAAACTTTCTGATCAAATGTTTGAACAAAGAGTAGTATTAGTCTAATTTAAAATAAACATTTATTGTCTTAATTTTAAAAAAGGTGGTTGTAAATTACGCAATTTATCTGATCTATTTCGTAAATAAACATTTGATAAATCATTATATAATAGTTTTATTTAAAATACTATCTCATCTTTAAAAGAGATTATATATAAGTAATTTAGTAATTGCAATTAACAATTACAATTGCAAATTTTAATTGTTAATTGAATTAAATTTCAATTATATCAAGTAATTTGTAATTAAAGTCACCAATTACAATTTGTAATTGAAATTGTTAATTTGAAGTTAATTACATTTTGCCCAACACTGGTGTCCAGATACGATTTTACTACTTTAACTTTTTCTTAAAATCGCTAAATTTCATCCGCCGCAAACCCGCTTGTGCTAAGCTTACGTAACAATACTCCATAAGCATGTGACAAGCGCCTAAAACGTCGACATATCGTTTCAAGTGGAAAATTTCTCTTACCTCGCTAACAATAATGTTCTCTGCTTCGCCGTCAGGTCCCAACTGGAACATGGGTTTCATGGGCAACGCCACCAGTTTATCCCTCAGGTCAGTCAGCGTGGCATCCGGGTTTAACCCGCTGCAGGGCTCCGGTTCCGCGTCCGGAGTGGAGGCCCGGGAGCCCTGCAGTTTAAGGGCCTCGTTGGCCACAGTGCAGAGAACCTCCACCATGTCCACTAACTCCTTTCTGTTGAGGACTCCGTCCCGATCCATGTCGAATATCTTGAAGCAGACTGGAAAGAAACAAATGCTTGGTATCGTTCGTCACGAAAGATAACGAGTGTGCTTATGACCACACGACTGAAGTGAAACTTCTTTAGTTCCATCTGTATGTATAAATATATATATTTTATTTACAAGCTTTAAGAGAAAGGGAACGATATGTCGAGGAGCTCGATGGCGCAAGTGGTTAGCGCGTTCGGCTGCGATCGTTGTAGTTAAACTAAGAATACTGTGAGTAGGGTTACCGAATCACTTGTTTATATTGAAACTAGCTGACCCAGCGAACTTCGTACCACTATAAAAATAGGGGCAGGTGGTAGAAGAGAAAATTTAGGGCAGCACGTATTTTTAATCATCATCATCATCATCAATATGATTTTTTTTAATTGGACTAGAAGTTCCTGAGGTTAGCGCGATCAACCAAACAAAGAATAACAAACAATAAAGATTGGCTATTTCAATGGTTGCCAACCCTAACTACAAACTACGTAAAAACTACTGTTTGTAAATACAATATATTCTGATATCTCATCTTTTCAATTGTCATACGTGCACATGATTATGTGTCAAGTATCCTTTGTGGAGGAGCTCGATGGCGCAAGTGGTTAGCGCGTTCGGCTGCGATCGTTGTAGTTAAACAACTTTCGCAGTGGTCGGTCATTGGATGGGTGACCAAAAATTTACTATCTCGAGCTCCTCCGTGCTTCGGAAGGCACGTTAAGCCGTTGGTCCCGGTTGCATCTGCAGTCGTTAGCACCCACCAATCCGCACTGGGCCCGCGTGGTGGGTCATGGCCTAATCTCAATATTCCATCCATAGGGAAGGCCTGTGCCCCAGCAGTGGGGACATTAATAGGCTGATGATGATGATGAAGAGAAAGGGAGAAAGAAAATGCGCGCGCAATGCTTTCCCTTGCTTATATCCCCCACTCAACTCCCGTTCGCCTCGCCCGAACACACTTTTCGTAACGCATTCGCCAGCTTACCCCCCAAGTCAAGCGTGTGTAAAGAAATTTCACTTCAAAAAACTGATTCTAACCGAAGAAATGGCGTGGTTGTTTTATAAGACCACGATGGTAGTAAAACTTTTATTTTATTTATTTATGATATTAGTGCGATAAGTTGGTTCTTACAAAGTAGACGTATGTAAGCCCGAGACGAAGTCAAGAGCTTACCATAGTCACGAGTTTTGTAAACACCAATTCCGCACGAATATCATACAACGTTTATTTATTTATTTCAGGAAAACAACAGCATTGTCTTAATTTCTAGTTACATTTGTAATATTTTCTTAAACTAATGCCAATAACAGTATTCCTGGTAACATATTTATTTGTGTAACATTTTTGAGTCTATCTTTAAAGTTCATTCAAAGATATTTGCAACAATAGTTTCATTTCTATCTTTATGTTAATTAATTAAGATATCCCACGACATGTTTATAAAACAACATGAATACAATGTTTATTATCATATAACGAAGCAATAAAATATACATAAGTACAAACCCCTTACGTGTCTCATTATTTAGCCAAATATGATTAATCAATACAATGTACTTTCCCCGTTCATTCATTAGTTAGGAGCTTTACAATGGATTGCTTAAAAGTATGTTTTGTCCCTATAAAAGGATCAGTTTTTCGTTTTTCAAAACATTTGCGAGAAAACAGTATTTAAACTTAATTTAAGTTAAGAAGCAAGTTCTTTCTAATGAGACTTGCTCATCATGAATTAAAACTAAATATTTTGTCTCTTTTTCTTTTTAGTATTAAAGTGAGACAAAGGTATAGGTTAAAAGCACTTCCAAGGAGGTCCGACCAAAAAAAACTTTAAAGAATATGGGCAGTGCCATGTATGGCGCACAATTTTTAACTTTCAAACAATGTATAAATACCGTAACTGCATTGTTTAGCAAATATGTTGAAAAGTTATTTACATCGCCTCAATTTATGCTTATGTTTATGTTTCTCCGGCTTATAAAAAAATCCTTTGGTTGAGAATCGAACCCGAGCCAGCGAGTCAGGCCAGCTTTCCCAGAAACACCGATGCTTATTGACAGGATCTGATTCTTTTTATAACAATAATTAAAATTTAATGCGACATGCTAAAAATAACAAATAAATTGTGGCAATAAAAGTTACACTTTAAATAAGAAATCATTAAAATTGTATCTCCTGTATCTACTTTTGCACCCTTGCCTGGAAGAGATTGCTGTTTAGCAATAAGGCCGCCTATTGTATACTCTTCTTTATTTTTATAAGTTTATGTATTGTGTCCTTTGTTGTGTGCAATAAAGAATATGATTTTTATTAAATTCGGTACAGTAATCTCCTAGTTAAGGGCCAATAACTATACAAAATATATACATACTAGTGGCCCTCCCTCGCTTCGCTTCGGGGTACAATTGATCAAAATCCTTTCTTAGCGGATGCCTACGTCATAACATCTACCTGCAATATCAGCCAGATCCGTCCAGTGGTTTGGGCTGTGCGTTGATAGATCACTATGTCAGTCAGTCACCTTTGAGTTTTATATATATAGAAGATACTGAGGAAATGAGAAGCTCCTTCTTTTTAAGTCGATTGAAAATGGACTTTACGGTATGGAAGAAGGCTCTAAAATGGTAAGTTTTTGTTCATGTTGTCAGAAAGAAAGTTCACCAAACAACTCCACCAGATTTGGTATCAATTGTGACTATTCATAATAGCCCCGAAACTGTCGCTTGAGGAAGTTGATGTTGTAATTCATTAGTATTACTATCATTATATCAGAAAAAAGGACTATATCACCACTTAACATCAGGTGGGGTAAAGTCATTTGCCTACCTGGCTATAAAAAAGAAAAAAAATCTCCAGCAAGAAAGAAAAGATATTGTAAAGCAGATAGGTATACAAATTAAATAAGTACACTAAAACAATAATATTTTTTTAAGCATTAAACTGTTAGATATTTAAATCTAAAAAAAAACCACGAGGACCAGGCAGCACACAGTATTTGCATTTGCTTTCGCTATTCGGGTAACATAAAAGTCAGTGCATTCGCCCGAAGGGTGTGGGTTCGCGTCCCGTCTTGTTCCGAGATTCGGAAGGCAGAGAAGCCGTCGATCCCAGCTGCATCTGCAGTCATTAGCCCCACCAATCCGCACGGGACCCGCCTGGTTATGGCTCAATCTCCCTATTTCATCCCTATGGTTGAAATGGGAGGAATACTGGGGCACAGGGATGGCCTGTGCCCCAGTAGTGGAGACATTAATAGGCTGGTGATTTTTTGAATTCATATCAAATAGTCAACATAATCGCGTAGTAGGCCAGAGATATGATTCGCGTATAACTATCATGTTAGTATATGCACAGTATTTAGTCAGCAGTTAGAACAACGCTACATCGATGATAAGGTCCCTGATAGCTTATCAGCTGGGTCGGAATGATATTCAAAATAGATTACCCTCATTATTTCCAAACTGGTAAAATCAAGATGAGTGTATTTATATACACTACAACTATTGACGAACTCCGTGGCCGAGTGGTTTATACGCCGGGTTTCATGGTGTCGCCGACTCGAGAGGTCCCGGGTTCGAATCCCGGTGGGGGCAGATGTTTGTGTGATGAATACGAGCATTTGTACTCCAGTCATGGATGTTTAATATGTATTTCTATATAAATCTTTATATACATAATTCTTCTGTGAGTGTGTATGTCACTGTACTTATCTTAAACGACTGGACCGATTTTGATGAAATTTTTTGTGTGTGTTCAAGGGGATCTGAGAATGGTTTAGATTCACAATTTTGTCCGCTGGACAACCCCTATTTTTTTAGGGCGGTACGAAGTTCGCTGGGTCAGCTAGTATACTTATATATGTACAATATATGTATTCTATCCGTTACCCTAGTATCCCATAACACAAGCCTTACAGTGCTTACTTTGGGGCTAGGCTAATTGGTGTGTTTTAAAATTAAAAAAAAAATGTTAATTTCTTTTATGTTATATTCAGGCTTTCACAAGCACATGTGAAAGTCGAAAACTACGCCACCGGTTCGCAAAACTACGGCGGGAGACCTTATACTTAGAAGAACCGTCAAGAAACTCAGCAAGGGCTACATTTTTCTCCCTGTTTTATTTCATACAGTGTCAGCTTGAGATCGTTGTGATTAAAATTATATAATGGTAATAAGTGAAAACATATTTGAAATACAATTTTAATCACTACAATTGTGTTGATAATAATGATTACGTGAGAGGGATACAGTTTAATCTGCATTCTCTGTATAAAATACTGTTTACACAATTACACATAGCCGCTTTGATACGAGAAACGGAAAGTACATAAACATAATTTAAAATGTATTACCTCATCTATACATACTGAACACATACAAGTAGAATCGAAGGTTATAGACACTAAGCAAGATATTATATTTATCAAAACAATTTCATTCATTCATAAGTTTCATAACAAACATAATATGTTCAGTGTATTCGTATCTCAGATATCTATTCTACTATGCCAATATAGCCGGATATCTTAAAAAAGGCAAATATTTAAATGGTCATATAAAATGAAAATATATTTATTGGAACTAAGTAAGGTTATATGTATAACTAGCGGCCCGCCCTCGCTTCGCTTCGGTGTAGAGCTGAAGTGTAGACTACAGTAGTTTTTGTTCTCAGGCTTGTATTATACACAATGACATTCATCTATGATTCTTCTTATACCTGCATGCAAAGTCTCAGCCTGATCCGTTGAAAATTGACAAAGTTTCATACAAACTTTCATTCCCTATTTTATCCCCTTGGGGGTAGAATTGATCAAAATCTTAGCGGATGCCTATGTCGTAACATCTACCTGCATGCCAAATTTCGGCCCGATCCGTCCAGTGGTTTGGGCTGTGCGTTGATAGATCACTATGTCAATCAGTCACCTTTGAGTTTTATATATATAGGTTAGGTTCGTTAATAGCTATATTAGTTTTTAGAACTGTGTTACAGCTATTAGCGCCCACCTCCAGATAC